GGTTACTCAAAGGTGTATTCTAGAATGAAATAATCCTGGTCACCTACTTCGGTTAAGGAATCAATCTATATATGGAGTATCATATACTCAAAGATGTACATGTAATGTATTGGAAATTAAACCTTAAATAAGGCATAAAATATACTCCCTCCGTCCCAAAATAAATGTCTCAACTTTGTACTAACTTTAGTACAAAATTGTACTAAGCTTGAGACACTTATTTGGGACGGAGGGAGTAATATAGAAGGCATGTATCAGCTATTAGAAGACAAACTTCAGCAGGTCTGTGCAAGACACCACATCACTTTTACATGCGACGAAACAATAAACACCAGTAAAATCGTGAATCATAATCACCGGGAGTGGCATTTTCTTCTTAGGTGGCAAACAAAATATCAAGACTTAGTACTCTGTAACAGATTTCGTACTTCGAAGAAAACGCCAAGATTTAGTAATCGTGTACGTGCAAATGCATGTATCAAATATTGTACAAAATTTTATTGTCTATAAAATAAAAAATGCACATAGTCAATTTTCAAGCTAATAATATTGTGTAGAGATCATAATAAAACAAGTATATCCTATTTGAAACTGTTACTGCACGCCGAAACGTCAAAGCAAAAGACATGTTTTCATTTATCGTCTATGTTTGGACACACCATGTTTAATACATGCTGCAAAAATATATTTCAAGGCAAGAAATTCAAATTTTGTGTGTGTATACAGCTTCATCCATACTGCAAAATCATCGATGTCTTCACTTGATTCCATGTAAACAACAACTACAAGAAAATAGTTACATTGTCTTGTGAAAACATGTGAAATTAATCTAGTTGTATGAAGAAAATAGGTACCAATAATAAACTACATAGGTGCAAGTTTTCAGGGGAAACTACAACACAAATAGTTATTTCTTTTGCTAGTAGCAACATGAATCAAAGCTGAGAAGACCGCAAAAATCAAATGACCTCACTGTGATTCAAAAAGTCAGTGCATTGTATATCACCTTTTCAATATTTGCAACCAAAAGGTGAGAGCATTTCTCAAATGCAGCTCCCATATGCTTCTGTACAAAGGACAAGTAAATTTTTTGATCTCAATCAATATTTGAAAACAAAGGCAGGACATCAGAGAATGATAATAAAGTTCCAAGCATCCCATATAGCATGAGAAAAAAAGATAGGATGCTGCTTAACCTGATTTTCCATTAATATGTTTTTTGTCCCCATGATGTTATATCCAAAGTGTGTTCCTGAGCCGCAAAATGGTAACCCCTGTTATCATGTATTGTGAACACATAAAAGTTCCATCCATGTATAACTCCGAGCAAAAGCAGTTTGTATGACAGGAAATGACATGTTTGGACAAAGCTCTAACAAGCACCACATGCACAACACTCTAAGCCGGTGAGACAACAGAACGAAATCAACTTACCCATTAAATAGATAGAGTAGGTCGTCCGCACTGTATAGACTTAACAAATCAACTTAACAACTTACGAAATCGACACCACGCTTTGAGGACCATCTGCCCTGTATGGACAGCTTTGGCGCATGTCGTCCAATACACATAGCTTTGGCCCAAGTTGTCTATAAACATATGTAAAAACAGCCCTGATCACCATTGATACAAGATTCTTAATTAGATCCATCTGAATTATCTTGCTCAGTAGTTCTTAGATTAGAAGACACCTATAATAAAACAAGCAGTACTCCTAGTTCCTTTAGTGATTTGAATCCTCATGAGTTGCAGAGATCCGATTTAGAAAAGTAGCATTGAGGAAGGAGCTGCAGCGTTCCCACGTCCAGGCTGGAAAGAGCCAAAAAACAGAAATCAAGGATTACTTGCAATAAGAACAACATTATCCAACGCCACACATACATCACAAATCACAAGCTAAATAATAGACGGATACGCCTGCTTACCCTCTAGACGGTGGTCTCAATCGGTGTTTACCTTTCATGAGCGGAAACTGGTCTTACCCTTGGATCTCTGTGAGCCACGCATAACCACATCCACCGCGGTCGCGCCATCGCCAGACGGCAGGGACGCACCGGTTGAGGCAACAACTACAACAAACAAGGTCGGCCAGCCGCAATGGTGAATTCGGCATGGCGTCTCTGCTCACCTGAACATCGGGGCAGCGGCATGGACCAGGGCGAAGCAGCCGCGCATCAGCAGGAGAGCGGAGGAGGGAACTTACTGGCTTGTCGGGAGGCGTCGGCGTACCTGCGGCAGTAGAGGAGGAGAGGCAGGCGCACGACGGGCGGCGGCTCTCCCGTGGGAAAGGGTGGCGACCTGTCGCGGCTCTCCCCCGGCGCGCGACAGGCTGCGATTTGCCGGCGACTCCCGCAACGAAGGGTGGCGGCTCCGGCTCTCCCGCGGCGAAGGGCGGCGACCTGCGACGGGGCTCCCCCGGCGCGCGACGGGCGGCGGCTTCGACTCTCCCGCGGCGAAGGGCGGCGACTTGCGGTGGGGCTCCCCCGGCGCGCGACGGG